ATATTTGAAAATGAATAATATTGAAAATATTACAAACAAGGATACCAAATGGGAATTTGACTATAACCAACCAACAAAATGAAATGAAACATTGCTGGAACTTGTTGTTTATTCAGTTCAATTTCAACATTGTAATTGAAATTTATAGCCAAAGAAAAAGTTATTTCGCTTTTTTGTTTGTTTGTTTGTTTGGTTCGTTGTAATTATATAACTCAAAAAAGCCGATTTTCAATCATTTTCAAATATTTANTGTTAAAATAAACTGAATTTTTTTTCAAGAAAAAAAAACCATATGAATTCTTTGGAATGTTTATTTTCAAAACAACAAAACAAACGACAAACGGAAAACAACAAAATGTAAAGTGCAAATAAACATTACTGATGATGATGATGATGATCAAGCCACACAAAAACAATCATATCAGGTTTTTTTTATCATTCAGAATCAACTTCGTATAATAGAGCGAGAAACTTAGGCTTTTTTGAAATACTGAATTCAGATTTTTAAGAAAAATAAATTAAATGTCCCTATCAACGTAAAAAGCAGTAACTTTGTTTTGTTTTTTATCGTATTTTTACGATTGAAAGATGCTTGCAATACTAAAAATGTGAAACAAAATAATTCGTTGAATGTTTATGAGTGAAATACTTGTGTGCAAAAAAAAGAGAGAGAGATTGAAAACATTCCTTGTAGCTATTTTATGGCAAATTATCATCATCATCATTATTAGACATTACTATTTGGCTTTTGTTGAATGGAATTTTCATTTGTTGTTGCTATTATTGATTATTATTTTTTTCGTTTGAAATACCAAAAAAATAGACATTCGGACAATGAATTCATTGTCCGAACATTTTTTTTCTGGTTTTCTCATATTCTCTTTTTATATTATTATGTAATTTGTCACTAGCTTCAGCCATTCAGTCAGTGTCATTCAGTGTTTTGTATTTTTTCCCTCACAATGATAATTATTATAATTATGATGATTACAACGACGACGATGATGATGATGATGGTGGTGGTGGAAAAAATATTGTGAAATTGTCATCAATTAGTTTGTGTGTGTGTGTGGGTGTTGTGAAAGGAAAAATAATGAGAATACTTATGGGACATGACCAAATATGACCCAGAAAGAAAAAAACAATATGAAAAGTTTCAATCAGAGAATATATGAAACATATGAATGAATTAAAAACACACACACTCACTCGCAAATGTCAAACACTCATAAATTATCATCAATTTTTTTCAAAAGTGAGAAGGAAGAAAATCTAATAAAATAAGATTCTTTTCTTCTTCTATTGCCATTGTCATTGGAAAAGATTTTTTGAACGAAATTGAAAAAAATCGATATTGTATTTACATTGACACTATGTATATTAGTTGTTGTTGTTGATGTTAAAAAAGAATCAACGAATGGAAAAGTAAATGTGAATATTCACATCCATGAAATTCATTATTCATTTAGTAAGTGAATGAAATTCCATCATCATCATCATCATTATCATTTTGATTGAAAATTTTTTTCAAAAAAAACTAAAAAAAATTCATTATTAATAATGATGATGGCATCATTTTCTCTCTTCACTTACAAATTCCATATGAAAAATTCATCATTTCCCTATGGGGAAAATTAATGTATGTTTTTCATTTCATTTCTTCCAATGACAATCGACAAAACTGAAAATATTATGCACTTGAAAAAAACTTGAAATTTTTTTTTACAAATTCTACCATCATGATTTTCTGGTTTTAGTTATGGTTTTCATCATTTCATCAATATGAATTTGATTGAATTGTTTTCAGCAAATTTAATTAATTAATCAATCAATCAGAAGACCGTTATAAATTTCAATCATTAATTGATTGATTAATCAAGGAGTGGAAAAAACATTATGCAAAATTCAAATTTAAAAAAACATCCATAAAACATAATTCAATAATGAAGGTTATGGATGATAACAGCATTAATGCAGACAATATCAAAAAAGCCATCAAATTGAATATTGACAATATTTTTTTTACTTGAAGAAATGTCTAAACAACGAAAAAACATTGTTAAATTGAATATTTAATGTTTCTTTCTCTTCTCTTTAATAATAAAAAAATGAATACACATGACTGACAAGGTTACCATCATTCTCGAACCAATGATGATGATGATCATAAATATTTGAAAATGAATATTTGAAAATATTACAAACAGAGATACCAAATGGGAATTTGACTATAACCAACCAACCAACAACAACAAAATGAAACATTGCTGGAACTTGTTGTTGTTTATTCAGTTCAATTTCAACATTGTAATTGAAATTTATAGCCAAAGAAAAAGTTATTTCGCTTTTTTGTTTGTTTGTTTGTTTGGTTCGTTGTAATTATATAACTCAAAAAAGCCGATTTTCAATCATTTTCAAATATTTATGATGATAATCGATTGATATTTGAACAAAAAAAAAATTTCATAAATAAAATGAAAAATGTAATCCGAAAAATAAGATTTTTGTTGTTGTTTTGTTTGCTTGGATGTCAATTTTCAACCCAAAATATCAAAAGATGATGACAGTAAAAATACTGAGTAAATAATATTCCCGGGTAAAAAAAGCCCGTAAGCCCGTTTCCATATTTTTTCCAAAATAAATTGACCTATGGGATTGTTGATTCCATCATCATAATGATGATGACAAATATGGAATCATTTTCATTCAATTTGAATTTTTTTTTGAAAAAACGAAATGAAAATGATTGTTGTTTTTGTGAGAAATTTTCCTTGTTTTTATTACGATATAATGTTTAGTGTTTCCATTAAGGAGGTTGTCACATTTCATCACAACCATCATTATCTTTAAAATGGTTTTTTCTCTCACTCACTCACTCGTTTATCATATCGACCAGAATCAAGAGAAAAAATATATATTAAAGATTAAAACAAAACAAAACAACAACAAAAATCTTTTAGTGTAAAAGGATACATCGTTTTGGATTCATTTAGACAGACACAGAGATTTTTTCTTCTATTTATTTATTTATTGTGGCTATTTAGTAATAGGAATATATATTCGGAGCCAGCAAAAAATACAGAATTTTTTTCCCTACTTAAAAAAATAAATAGGATTCCATAGGGGGCAAATATAATGTAGTCACGCAAAATTGAATTCATCGTATGGATGAAATAAACTGGAACTATGGAATTGAAAAAAGGAATATATTCTCTGATGAAAGTAAAGGATTATGCAAAGGATTATCAAGTAATAGAAAAAAAACTTCTAGAATAACAGAATTGTAACAGTGATTCTGGAATTCAATTCTGAATTTTTTTTTCCAACAACAACAACAACCAAATGAAAGAAATGAATGAATGAAATTAACTTGGCCAAAAAAAACCAATTGATTTAATCATGGAAGAACATTCTGTGTTTTTGTTTCCTCCGTTGCTTCATTTGGAATAACAAACAAACGAAATGAAAAATTAAAATTTATTATTTTTTTTTTTGTAAAATGAATTAATTTCATTGTTAAGCCTTTGTTGTTGTTGTTTTAGGTAGTTGATTTTTATTCATTGTTTTGGGTAGAAAACAAAAAGTTAGCCAAATGACAAACATTGTTGACAGATTTTTTTCCAATTCAAATCATCATTTAGACCAGAAAACCACCAGAAATGTTTGCGTGCATCGTTTATTATTCGGACAAAACAACAACAACAACCGAAAAACATAAAACAACTGATGTTCCATAATAATAATTAATAATGTTTTTTCTGTTTTTTCGTTGCATTCATTCCATTTCGAAAATTTCAATTGCACAGAATATTCTTCCAACGGAAATAATAATCAATTTCAACTTGATAATTGTTAAAAGTTGTGCATAGATAATGTTTATGCGGTAATAATAATAAAGTTAGAATTTTTTCCATAAAATGTTGCGTGTTAAAAATTCTTTATGGGAATTTTGGTTTTTTCCAACAAAAAAAACTGCATAAAGCATCACGTTTGTACGATAATTTCAAAAATTCAATTTGTTTTTTTTAAAAACATTAAATTCGATGAACATTTTTGATGAATCATTTTGTTTTTTGAGAGAAAAAAAATTAGTTTTTGTGATGCACGATGTGATGCAAACTAATTTTGTTGTTTGTTGTTGTCTTGGTTCGATTGGTTTTCTCCAATAGAGATGCCAAATATGACACGGTTATAAACACACACTGACACACAGCATATACTGGATTCAATCAAATACAATTCGTACGTGTCGAGAAAGATAAAGTTTTTTTTTCTTGCTTGCTTGCTTTTTTTGATTATCTTTCGAAACTTTGTTAAATTGAAACCCTAGTAAAGATGGGAATAGGAAGAGAGAAAAAGAGAGAGAGAGGAAAAAAAGACATTAAAAAATGGAAAATAATCAAAATGAGATAATTAAAATACATGATTCCCGAAGAAAAAAAGTTTCATTTTTTTTTCTTTTAGTTGAAAATAATCGAATGTTCTTCTTTTTTGATAACGAAACTTTTCGGATATTTTTTTTTCTTCTTAAAAATTTTGTTCAATTTTCCCTGATGTGCAATTTGATTTTTTTCAAGAAAGAAAAAGTTTTTCTTTTTCTTCTTCTTTTTCAAAGTTAATGTTTTTTTTCAATAGTTAAGCAATATTGTTATGTTTTGTTGTTGTTGGTAAGGTTTTTTTGAAAATCCTGATATTTGATCTCAATTTATGATCGAATCAGAATTTATTTTTTTTACATTTTCTTTATTCTAAAATCACAATACAGTATGCCAGTAAACCTAAAAAAAAAAGGTTAATCAATGATAACAGCTATACGACGCACACAGCAAACAATGGCGATGATAATATTGATAAAATTGATAACAAGAAAACAAGAAAATCAAAATTATTTTTATGCGATTACCAACAATACTAATTGTTTGCCTAATCAGATCAATATCAAATTATTATATTTTTGGAAAAAATGAAATCATTACCCAACATCTTTTACATCTGACAATTTTAATCAAAAATTACAATTTATAAACGAAAATCTTTTCATTTTTATTTGGATGAAAATTCGAATCTTTAAAAACAACTATTTACACCTGCGTGGTTATTGCTGAAATATGGTTCGCAACAGTCGTTTATTTTCAAAACAACAACAACAACTCGTGAGTGTCAACAAACATGATCATCGACCATCCATCATCAATTGGTTTCAACAAACAAATTCAAATCAAATAATTAGTTCGACCATGAATCAATCAGATAATCAATTTAATGCACATGTTAATGTCAATTTGAATAATCAATATTGGCTTCAACAACAATTCAATATTAATCCACGTAAACCTGTCGGTGTGTTTTGGGATATCGAAAATTGTACAATTCCTCGTGGTGTTAGTCCTTCATATCTAGTGGAGAAAATTCGTTTATTCATTCAAAGTTTATATATGATCGAAAGAGAATTTGCAATTGTCTGTGATGTACCGAGCTTTACTACATCTATAATCAACGAATTAAATAATTCACAAGTCAATATAATACATATTAGTTCGTTTGCTAAAAATGCTGCCGATGAAAAATTAAAACAATTGATTTTACGATTCGTACAAACGAATGGACCGAATTGTGCCGTCATATTGTTTTCAAGTATGTAATTGTTAATGATAATTGCATAATTTTATTCTAATCAATCACGATAATCAGGTGATATAAATTTTGTACCAGTATTAAGTGATATAAAAAATCGTATTGGTGTATTTGTTATATTATTTCATCATCATCTTGTATCATCAGCATTATTGGCTAGTTCACATTATCATTTTGATTATGATCAATTTTGTTTGACACCACCAAATGTTAATGTACCGTCAAACAATTATAAGATTATGAAAAATCAATCAGATTTTATCAGTAAGTTTCAAACAAACAAAAAAAAACAAAATCCTTGTCAATTTTAAAATTGATCAAATTTTTTTTCCTATTCCATTCACACACAGTGACATCATTACGAATTTCAAATCTACCATCGGTATCGGATGAAGAACAAACTAAATCTTTATTGAATCGAATTATCAATAATAATGGTGGCCGTATTATTTATCTTGATATGATGAATCATGAAGCAATTGTACGATTTAAATGTCGTTCGGATGCATTACGTTGTCATCAACGTGTTGATAATCGAAAATTTTATGGCTACATTCTTAGATCTAAATTCGAACCAGCTTTCACTTCAAATCATGTTCAATCGTATAATCAAGATGCCATTAATAATCATGATACTAATCAAATTAATCAAATTAATGCTAATCATATCGATACAGATGATCGAATCAATGAAGCTAGTCAGCCATCGTTTATTAGTCAATCATTAATTGAACGTGCAACTAAATGTAAAGTTTGCACTGTTCAAATTCATAAACAATCAAAAAATCATAATTTTTTATTCACTGATAAAATTTTCAGTATTAATATTGATTTTGATAATTTTTGTCGAAAATTAAGCTATCTATTATTGTTACATGATGGTGAATTACCATTGAATGCTTTACCAGATTGTTGGCTAAAAACATTTGAATCAGAATTGGATGATTCAAATAATGATGGTCCAAAAGTAATGCTTGAACATTTAATTACCTGTATTCCTAATGTCAATGTTCGTGATTTGGAAATTGAAATTGATCAGAATAAGATTTTAACAAAATTTATTGTTAATGAATCATTGGATGAATCATCATATGAAGAATCAGAAAATTTAAAAAATTTTATGATAAATTTACAATTGCTATTGGACAATCAAATATCGAATGAAATCAAAGGTTTTCCATCGATCGAATTAAATGAACTGGAAACAGAATATTATCATCATTTTGGCCACAATATAAATCCTTTTGATTATGGATGTTCAAATCTTATCGAACTATTACAATCATGTCGAATAAAATTCAATATCTATTCCTATGGCAATCATCGTATTATTGCCTTGAATTTTGAAGAACAAGCTTATCAATTCATATTGGAATTCGCCAAACTTTATCCATTTGATCTAACTGATCCAAATTATTTTGATAATTTTAATATCGCTGTTTATGGTGCATGTTCAATCGAAGATATGATTGCAGCCATTGATATGAGAACAGATCTAGTCGAACAAATTCGTGATAAAAATCAACGTTTAGCAATATTTAGTTATCCGAAATTGGTACATAATTCAACAATATTGGATGAATTTGATACAATCAAAGCTGATTTGAAACAAACACTGTTATTGATGCCAGATTTTTCGATGGATTTATCCAAATTTCATGAAGATTTTTCTCAGCTCATTTACAAAAAATTGAATATAACAATAACATATTGTCGTCTTTCAAATCTAATTATCAATCATAGTGATGGTGATTTCGAAATAATGGTTAATCATTTATCAACATTACCTTGTCCGGATAAATTAATGCTTAGTATAGATTTACAATTACAAGAATTGGGCAAACGATTCGTGAAAATTTTCAATGAAATGGCTACCATAATTTTTGGAAAATCATGTCATACGAATGAAAAAAATATAGCCATACCTATTTATGATTTAATTTATCATTATCATCGTCGTTATAAATCAATTTGTTTGGAAAATTTAGCCATAAAATCAATGCCAAAATTATTTGAAAAAATTCTTGCCAATTCTTTTCTTTGTTATGAAAATTATTGTCTCATTTATACGACAAGTTCAATTTTTTTGAAACAATTTTCTTCAACATGGCTTCAATGTATTCTACATTTTATATTGCGAATTACTATTCAATATCGTTCATTCGATCGAATGATTACATTTGATGAATTTCGGCAATTATTTCATGATCATTTTGGATTTTCATTTGGTTTAAGCTTTTTTTTCAATCTTTATATTCTGAAAATGATACGAATTGTTAAATATGTTAATAATGATGATTTAATTGTCGAACTGGAACCATCATGTGAATTTGTGGCCAAATGTTTGATTGTTATGTTGTTACATAAAAATATTGTATTTCCTAATCAACATGACCATCATCATCATCAATCGTGGACATTAGAACAAATTGAAAATGAATTTTACGATCATTTTGGTGTATCGTTAGCTTATTCGAATCCAAACGGTAATCATCAATTCAATCCAATCGAATTATTTACCTCATTTGATTGGCTATTTGAAATCGAAGATTATTTCCATTATCAAACTATAAAGATCAAAGAAATTGATTCTTTTGATTATGATCTCAATAACATTCCACGTTGTAATTATTGTGAATATTATCAGGAACCACAACATCATCAATTACCAACAACAACAGCAATGTCTGAAGAAATGATGAAAAAAAATTTCAATCAACAATCATCGATCATGATGCAAAATACGGGTATTGAAATTTCAAATTGAATTGATTTTTTATGTTGCATATCTTTTCTACTTTACATTTTTTTCTTTAATATTTTTTAAAGATTCTTTGCTTTTTTTTCATTATTACAAATGATTATTTAGATATGATTTGAATACAAGAAAAAAAATAATAATTGTAATAAACAAAATGATCAATGTTTTTTACTATCATTTTTACTTTGTTGTTGTTGTTGTTGTGGTTTTTTTTGAAAAACACTTTCCGGCCTCAAATCAATCGGTAGATCATATCCAAGCATTTGTTTATAGAGTTTCATATCGATTACTAAATTTGAATCAACAAATAATGGCTGTTTTTTCTGACCAACTGTATATGTAGTAAAAATGCCCAACATTTCTGGTATTTGAACTTGATTAGATTTATATTTCAATTGTACATCACGATTAAGTAGATTTAAATGTTTTGCAACAAATTGATCATTTTGATCATCATAATATAATTTTGTTACATATCTTTTTGTAAACCAATTCAATATTAATGGTGATATGAATATACCGGCACAGGTAATTGTTGCAAAACCCATTGTTAACGATGATCCAGATGCAATTAATTTTGGATATAAAATTGGTTGTACACCGGCCGATATTAATGTTGTCGATATTGATAATCGTTTAATCATTTTGATCATACGTATCATCTGTTCAGGTGCTTCATAGATTAATTTTCCGGTTGTTGTTTCAGATTTTGCCATTATTTATTAATTTTTTTTTTGCAATGTTTTTTTTTGTTTTCGTCTCAATGTGATTTCAAACCATCGAATATTTACATCGATATATCGATTGTGCATAATTCTACAGTAGAACCGTGGTTTTTTTGAAATTTTAGCGCTAACTGAAACAAATGAAAAATGTAAAACAATTATGATCAAATTTATTCTTTTAATTGAATATAATATAGATTTGATAATGATAAAATATGTATGATTCAATTTCATTTCAATTGAATTCATTGAAAAATATTAAAATACAAATCAAATTGTTAGATGTGTAAAAAAAGATTTGTTCGGTGGGTGTGTGACCGTCAAATGATATAACAATATTTTGAAAAAAAAGATTATTATCAAAGAATATACAAATTGATCGAAAGAATGAATGGATAAATAAAAAACTTAACAAATCATAAACGATTTGATATTTTATGTGATGATGGTAATAAGATTGAATCATCATTAGCATTGGTCATTGGCATTGATCCATCCTGGCTACGATAATGAAATAATTGTCTTCGTGCAATACGATACCAATCATCCATACAATTTGAATAAATTAATGAACATTTATCGCATGATTTATGACGACCAAATTGTATACCAAGTTTATGTGCATCAGTCATTGTTGATTCACCAATACTATGTGTCAAAGCATCCATTAATGATGCTTTTGTTGTTTGTTTAGCTGATTTGGCTTGCATACAGGTTCGTTCACAATTATAACGATTAGTACAAGCAATAGCAATGTTTCGATCCAATCGAAATGGATCATCATCATCATCATCATTATTATCATCGATATTTGATGAACGTGGAATAAATTTCAAAGCATTCGATGATCGTTCCATACGATAATTTAAAAAATTTTCAATTCGATGACATTGAATAATCGTAATTAATGATAAAATTATTATGGCAATCAAAATGACCAACGAATTTGGTGAAATTATTATTGATCGAATCATATTCAATTGATTTCTGATATGTGACCATACACTGTGTCACACCATAAAAAATAATAAAGAATGGTCAAATGCATTTGTAAACCAACCTTTTTATATAAAGATGGAGGCCTCATATCATGTCGATTGTTTGTTTGTTCATTAAATTGCCAGAATGGTAATTAGACAACAGGATGAATTTTAAAAAAAAGAAGCTGAACCGGACTAGCGAGATTTATCGGGAAAAAATCAAGTTATATATTAATCATCAATTCAGGTTGATCAACCAGAAAACTTCTTTTTTTCTTTCTCATCACTGTTATCAAGTCATTCGCGTCACAAAAAAAAAACAACGACAACTGGTCTCGTATACATTCGATTCTGATGACGAAGATCGATGATGACAGCAGTACTATGCGATAATTTGGGGGCAAAAAACTTTGTTGACATTTTTTTTGATCTCCGCATTAAACTTGAACTTTAAAAACAATTTTTTCCATGTCTTATTCTTAGATAACATCGTAGGTTATTTATCATCGATTCAATTCCATTATTGATTGACCTTTATAATTTTTAAAAACAAAAAATCAGCGAAATTTGGAAACGAAAACTTCTTCCGCATCCATGCATGTGTTGTTGATAATGGAAAACAAGTTGTTTGGTCAGATTTTGGCTAGGTTTTTGCGAATGACATTTTTATCGATCAAACAACAACAACAATAATTGATGAATATTGAAATAGGCAAATGACCTCTGACTGAATTTGGACATTGACCTATGCAAATGTTGTTATTTTTTTCGAAAGAAAACTTCCATAATCAAATTATTTGTCTTGTATTTTTGGTTCTTCGAACTAATGGCCAGAAAAAATTCGAAAAATCAATAACATATAATGCTGTTGTTCGAAAGCATAAATTCTACGTAACAATATCATACATTAATCCAAAAATAATGTGTGCAAATAAAAATTTAGAATCATATAATTTAACAACAAATTCAATAACAACAACTATGACAACAACAACAAATGTTGTTAAACAACCAATCAAATTGATGATCAAAATGATTGTTATAATGATTTTTGTTATGATATTAATCACAACAATTGAATGGATAGGTTGGCGACTAGGATTACAGCCACCATCAGTGTCATCATCATCATCATCCACAAGTTTATCGAAACGAACAAATCGATCAACACATATTTCATCAACATCAAATACAACCAATAAAATGAATATTAAAACCAATGAACGTTATAGATTGAAAAAACAATCAAACGATAATGATCAAATTGAAACAACAACACCGTCTTTGACGTCGTTAACATCAACATCATCTTCAGGCAATGTTGATGAACAACAACAACAACAAGATTTATGATTTTATAAATGAAACCAAACAACAAAAAATTAACAATTCGTTTTTTTTGTAAATAATAAAATTTTTATTTAATTAATTAAACATCTTTTTTGATTTTCACTAAAGAGAAGGAGAGAGAGTAATAAAGAAGGAGAAAAAATGGCAAAGGAAATATAATCTTCAAAATAATAATAATAATGAGAATGAGAAAAAAAGATATAAAGGTAATTAAAATAGAAAAGAAGAAGAAGAAGAAGAAAAAATTCACATCAGCAAAACGAACAATTATCGAAAATGAATAATTCGAGATACAAATAGAGAGACAGGGAGACTGACATATAAATCATCATCATCCTCGTTTTTTCAATATAAAATCATCCAAAATTGATGAAATTATTCCCGGTGCCAAAAAATTTTTGTTTGAAACTTTTCAATGTTTTTTTGTTTTTACAAATAGATAATTAGAAAAAAATTCATCATCATCCTATAAATTATTATGTAATTTTATTTTTTTGAAAACAAGAATCGATGGAGAGCACATATTCATATTGAAATGGATGATGTGTTTGTGTGTATACAAAAACACCAAAAAAGAAAGAGAAAAATCCTATTATATAATCACAATTTTTTTAAACAAATTTTTTTTTCTTCAATATGCTAATCGTGTGTAGAAAAAAATTTTCTGGTTTGTTTGTTTGTTTGATGATCATCGAATACGAATGAATGAATGAAAGAGAGAAGCGAAGCCATGAGATGAAAATACAATTCTTCAATTCATTATCAATCATCGTCATCATCGATATCGGAATTTTTAACAGTAAATCTTCGAATCCATTGAATTTTGTTGCGTTGTTCTTAGTATGGTGTATTTTCATTTTTTATGTTTGCAGTTGTCAAAGTAAATGAAAATGATGGTGGAAAAACAAAATTACAAAAATTTTGAAAAAAAAACAAAACAATCTTGGTGTTAATTGGGGAAAAATGAATGTGCGTGAAATGAATTTTGCTATTTTGCTTTTAATAATGGCCATCGATTTGATACAAAACACTATATTTGATGATGATGATGATTGAAAAGTAAGAAAGACTTTTATAGCTGTGTGTGTGTCTGTGTGTTTAGTTCGATCAGTTAGTGTTCAAAGAAAATGGTAAAGGATTGGTGTTTGATGATGATGATGATTTTGTTATGTTTTGTTTGGATTCTTTTTTGAAAAGAAATTACCCAAAAAAAGTTTTTTTGATTTAATAATTTAAATGTAGAAAAAATTCTGAATTGATCCTCCTGTATATTTCCATTATCCAATAGACATATAGATAGAAAAGATTATTAGTAAAAATTAGTAATTTTTTGTTTCGCCAGGAAATTAAAAATGTTGTTGTTAATGTTGTGTAAATATAAAATGATGTATTTTGCAAATATCTGATGAGAATTTTTAATTCATTATTTTCAACAAAAAAAAAGAAGCAAAAATTTGCCAAAATATAATTTCGATTTTATCTTGCTTCTTGCTTCTCTCGAATTTATCATTATCGAAGTAGCTTCAATTTTTCCATTTTGATTGATTCATTCATTCAATGATTGATTTGTTTTTGATATATGCAGTAGAAAGAAGAAAAAAAATTTTTTGATTAAAAATGGTAAAAAAATGATGATGATGATGATTTTGGGATTAAGCCGAATGGATGAGATAAATATTTGCACCAAATATGAATTTTTTTTTCGTTTTCGTTTGAGAATCATTATTTTTGATTTGATGAAAGGAATTTTATTTATTTATTTTTTATATATAAAAAAAAGAAAGATAAAAAAAGGCGATGGCGGCGGGAAATTTCATTTCTTCGGCTTTATTTTCACAAAAAAAAAACAAACAGTTAAGCATATTTTGATAAACTAATTAGCGATTTGCTTGTTGAAGAGCAATTTCGGCTAATGCAGCAAGACCATCACATTGATTAATAGAACCTTGAGATGAAATTACTGTGGATAGAATATTTGCCGATTCACCAGAAGATGATGTCGATGAAGTTGTCGAAGAAGCTGGTGATGTTGCTTTTGGTGGTATCACTGATGAAGATGATAACGATGATGATGATGAAATAACTGATGATACAGATGTTATTGGTTGTGGTGATGCCGCTGATGCTTGCGGCAACGAGATCCTTTGTGATGAATGAGGGGAGATCGACAACAATAATTGTGTTGGCGATGATGCAGCTGCGGCAGCAGCAGCCATTACAGCTGCAGCTGATGATGATGTAATCACTGCAGTGGTTCCGGTGGCAGCATTTGTCGATGTAAGATATGATTGTTGTTGCTGCATAGCTGATGATGATGATGTTGAACCAATCGCAACACTTAGATCCATTGGTTTATTATTATTTGAATTTCCAATCAATGGCGTTGTTGTCATTATAATCGGTTGAGCTATGGTCGAAGTTCCAGATGAAACATTTCCAGCGGCAGAAGCAGTGGCAGCTTTACTTATATAACCAATAGAAACTAAATTGCCATCCAATGTTTGTACCGGAATTGTTTGACCAGTACCAAATTTGATAACAACCGAAGGGCTTTGTTGCATTCGTGGTGATACCGATGATGATGTGACAGTAGTGTTCGGTATAGCACCGGCAGTAGCCGCTGTAGCTAAACGTAAAGGCAATGCATCCATATTTAATTCGGAAGACAACGATGAAGTAGTATTTGTGGCTGTGATAGTTGTCAATCGTGATAATGATGCATTATTAATTGATGACGGCGTTGATTGCGTTGTAATGGTAAGATTAACAGCTGAATTCGCAGACGATGATGAAAATGAAGATGATCGTGATATTGGTAGTTGAGATAATTTGGTAGTGCCAATTATTGAGGCTATTTTCTGGCCATTAAGATTCAATTTAAGATTTTCCGGTTGCTGTATTGAAGATGTTGCTGTCGATATAGGTATAAATGCGGAATGTGATTGTTGTTGTCCATTATTCGCAGCGGTTGTCGTTGTCGTCGCTGGATAGAAAACCGTTTTGACCAATGATGTTGCTGTTGATGTTGGAGAAGTTTGAGCATTTGTATTGCTCGATTGAACGATCATCAATGTTGGATTCGAAGTGGAACAACTTGTTGTATTAATGTTATTTGATGACGTTGTTGTCGTTTTGGTCAATTCATGTTGATTACGAAGATGAAGAGCATTGACCAGATGATTATTGTCTAATTGCGGTAATGCTCGAATATGTTCCTCAAGATCGAATGATCCGGTTACAAATTTCGAATGACCATTATCATTGATCATTTGATTGTTACAAACAACTTGATTATTATTATTGTTATTATTATTATTGGCATTAGCAGCAGCAGCAGCGGCAGCCATAGCAGCCATCATTTCATTAACACCGATTACTGTTCCATTAATTCTTGAACGTTTTAATGGTAATGATTCTGTACTTGTCAATTTAGCCGAATTCATTAACAATGCTGTTGTAGGTGTTGTTATTGAAGTTGATAGAATTTTTCCTGGAGATCCATTATTGACGATCAATACTTGATTATCTGGATGTGATCGTTTTGTGCCAGTTTGATTATTACTGCTACCAACAGCAACAGCAGCAGCAGCAGCAGTAGTAGTAGGAGTAGTAGCACCACCAGTTATTGATCGTAGACTAAAATCTTTGGCAACCAATAAAAATTTTGAATTTGATTGATTAGTTGTTGTTGTTGTTGCTGTTGATGATAATGACAACGATGAAGAATTTGATGTCGGTGTTGTTAGATTCAATGCAACAGATGTATTAGATGTTGTTGTTGCTGTGGTCGTTGCTGGCGATGATGTTGATGATGATAATAATGTTGATTGTTTTGTTTTGTTATTAGAATTGCCATGAATCGAACTAATATTTGGTGGCAACGGTTTGAAATCTACAACAAAAAAAACGAGAGTCAGTACAAAAAAATAACAAAAGTTATTACAACAAATACGAACCACAAATTTGACCAGAACTTAAGAATTTATCAATATAATGATCAATGATTTGTTGATTTGAACGTGTTATAGTACGTTCGCCATCATCATCATCATCATCGTCTGATTTTTTTGGAGATTGAATATTTTTGCTATTAGTGTTGGTAACATTCGATGATGTTGAACTTAAATTCAATGGTTTGATATCTTCATTATCATTTTTTTCAACATTTGATTCAATTGCCATCATTGTTGCTGATCTATTTGGATAGAATTTTAATGTTGAAGTATTTTTATTATTTGTTGATGATTGTTCATTTTGATGAATTTCATCATCGGATGCTGTTTCAGAACCGGAATCACTTTGATGATGACTTTTAGTACTTCCAGTACTGCAATTTGATTCATTGCCTGTACTACCGGTAGTAGGACCACCACTCAATGCAGTTGTACCGACACCGGATGCAGCTGATGCTATTGCTAACATTGTTTTGGCTGCCTTCAATTCTGATGAACTATTATCAGATGTGATTGCATAATTATTATTATTATTATTATTATTATTATTATTTGAAACGGAAGAGGAATAATTATTATTATCAAATTTTGACTGGCTGGACGATATATTCGACAAAAATGGCATTGCACCAGTTTTACAACCTGATCCGTTTTTCGGTCCATTAAATAATAATTGTTGTTCAATTACTCTGGATACTATTTCTCTATTCGATGACATTGGTTGATGAATCATTTTTAATTGACCATCACCACCACCACTAGCAATAACATTGTTCGATACTTGAGAAATTGCACCATTGCCCGATTGATAATTATTTGTAATGTTATTGTTAGTGGAGACCAAAACAGCTGAATAGGTTCCATTTACTGCAGGAAGATTTGGTGCTGGCGTTATTTCTAATGAATTATTTTGGAAATTATCATTAAAATTATCATAGATAATCAATATGGCTACTTACTTTTCGTATAATCACCACTAGATTCTAATGACTCAAGATAACGCTTTTTCGGTGGTTTTGGTGTTGTACAAATCGTTGTTGTTGGTGTTGTTGTTGCTGATGATGATGATGATGAATTACTGGCAACAACAACATTACCACCATTGTTTGAAGATGATGTTAGAGTTGTCGAAGATGAAGTTGGCGATATGACCATATTGCCAACAACAACAACATTGTTGTTTGTAGATGTTGGCATAGATGAGGATTGCACAGTTTGATTGGCTATCGGTAATGATGAACCGGAAACTTCCGAAGCCAATGATATTGATGATGTTGTTGACTGTTGTTGTTGTTGTTGTTGCGGTTGATGATTGCTATTCGTTACTGTAGTACCCGTGTTATTTACGTTGTTGTTATGGTTGTTATTATTAGTTACAAGAACCGTATTAACAGTAATATTATTATTGACATTTTGTACTTGGTTCGAAGGCATCATGTGGGTCGTCAACGATGATAATGTTTGCGATGATGATGGTAGTGGTGGCGGCGGCGGTCTAGGTGGTTCTGTTGTTTTATACCATTTAAAATGTGGATTAGCTTTCATAAAAGCTTCTTTATATTGTCTTGCTAAATCAGTATAATCATGTTTTTCTTCAGCATTTAATGCTGCCCACCATTCGCCTAGAATTTTCGTTATTGAACGATTCTCTAAATGTGGATAACGTTCACGTACAACACTTCTATGTCGTTTACAAAATATTAAAAATGCATTCATCGGACGTTTTTGTGCTTGTTGCTGTGTCATTGATGCTGATGGTGAGCCTAAATTATTATTCAACAATGGTGTCGCAGACAAAGCTGTAGATGTGGTCGATGCAACTGCGGCGGCCATTTGTTGTATAGTAATATGTTGTTGATCGTTTCCGTTATTGGATGATGTTTTTTGACCACCACTGGTCATACTATTGCTTTCAACAGTAATGTTTCCACTACCACAGTTTGATACTGATAAATGATATAAAAGAGAAAAGTTAATTAGTTCAATCGATTAATATTTTCCATTATTTAAACTTACGGTTATTACTGCCATTAGTTGCCGTCGCAGAAGATTGAATTGCGGCCACAACTGATGATGCTGGAATTATACGATTATGGTTATTATGATGTCCACCACTACCTGATCCAGATAAGGTAAAAGTTGAAGGCGTTGTTGATGATGATGACAATGTTGCGGTAGAATCATTACCACCACTCAAAGAAATGGGCAATACAAATGATGATATTGTCGCTACAGTTGGAGCCGATTGTTGCACATTTTGACTTGTAATGGCCGTTGTTTTGACCATTGCATTGTTCTGTTCCAATACTTCTGAATTGGTGGTCGTAGATGGAGAAATACTGTTATTATTATTATTGGATGTAGCCGTAGCCGTCATCTTTGTGTTATCTTTCGGATTAATCACTTGATGAACAATTGATGCCGGAGCAATTGCAAATTTTGTTTGATTATTGCCACCGTTATAATCAATATTTACACCATTCACAGCGTTTTTATTTAAATTAGTTGCAGAAACAATATTTGATGATGATCCAATCATAACCATTTGACCTGATGTTTGTTGATGAAGATTTGGTGCCATCAATGATTTTGTTACCGTTGTTGTCGATGATGATGATGATGACGACGATATTGTCGAATCAATAATCACCGAATTTGTTAATGTTGATTGTTGTGGTGATGCTTGCGCTGAACATGATGAAGACGACGAAGATGAAGACGAAGATGGTGATGTTGGCGACGAAGCTAAAGACGAAGATGAAGATGATGATGATGTGGACGAAGAAACAACAATTCCAACATGTCCATTATTATTACCACCATTAGTAACAACTAAATTTTGGTTTGTAACCGTTGATGGTGCTTGAACTAATGTTTCCTGTTTGTTTGAATAAAATAACAACAAAATTATTAATTGAGAATCCAAAGCAATAAAAGAAATTCAATACAGTCTTTTCCAACAAAAAAACATTTGACAAATTATGATTCTTGACGGTCAAAAAAAAATTAAGGCCTCTCTCTTGAATTGACATCAATTTTTCAACAAAACTTTCACTGATTTAATTGATATTTTTTTTTATTTTTCTTCCAACCGGAACCAAAATGAAAACGTGTATATATAACTTTCGATCGAAAAAAAGAGAGAAACTTTTCTTTTTTTCAAAACAAAACAGTAAAAAAGAGAAACAAGACGTTAAAAAAATCTCAATATTGAATTACATACGGTTATCCTTTTGCTATAATAATAATAACACACAAACACACACAGTAGATATGATGGTCTGTTTCCTTTCTTAATAAAAAATCATATTGAAAACCGTTATTGTTTTGTTTTGTAGAGGAAAAAGGGGAAAAACACACGTTTTTTTCCGTTTCAAAAAAAAAGAAGCCATTTAAATCAACAACAACAATAACACATTGGTCGAAGGTCAGGCCTTATTTAAGGTTTTTTTCCTTCAAATGTTATGAAACACACAATTCATCTATTCAACAATAGACCGGCCCTTTTTTCTTTTCTTTTGAATCAACTATCACACACAAACAGTATGAAATGAATGAATGAAAATATATTGACCATACATGGTCCATACATTTTATACATTTATGGTATGGTCAATATATTTTCATTACGAAACAATATGACAAACACAAATAGGTGTCTCATAAATCACTGGGGTTTTTTAGTAGAAAAAGTGAGTGAGAGAAAGAAAGAAAAAACTTAAAACACGCACCTGGAATCAATGTTTTAAAAGTTGACAATTCTAATGTTCATTCAAAATGATTGAATGAATAGTGAATGAACCGATAAGGAAATAAATAAAGACCGGATTGAACTGTTTAAAAAATTCACAAAACGACACACAAACACACACACACCGAGAAAACAATTTGGAACGGTTACACAAAAAAAACACTGATTTAAATCAATAAATCGATGAATCAATCACCTGATTTGAACAAAAAAACAACAAACAAAATGAAAAAAATGTTTATTTCAGAAAACAGAAAAAACACTGGAAAAGGAAAAAAATTGGGAAAATTTCGATCGACAACAACGATGATGATGATGATAACGACAATGGCGTCATGTAACAATTTGGCGCCAAACTAAAACTGAAAACGTTCCATAACATAGATCGTTGTCCTATACATCACACACACAGACCAGGATATGAAATGAAAATGAAAAGTCAAAATCTGAAATACTCGAAAACAAAAAAATAAAATAAAAGAGAAATTAAAAGTCAAAAAAAGAAGAGAATGTCAAAATGAAAAATGCCATAATAATGATCATTTTTAATCAAAATTGAATTTGATATATAGTGAGAGAAAGTGGAAAAAATGAAAATGTTCTCTTTTTTCTGTTTCATTCAATCGCAAACTTTCTAGGTTTGTGAATGATCATCATTGGATGTATGATTATCAAAGATTTGTTGTTTACCGCAACGAACGAAACTTTGACTTTCTCTTCGTTTTTTCATTCATTCATTCATTCAGTTGTTGTTGTTGTTGTTTTTTTTCAACCATTGCTCCCAATGATAGTTAAATTAATATTTTTCGAATTGAATACATCCTCTATTTGACTTTAATTTTTTCCTGATGCAATATATATGAAGATGAGAGAAAAGGAAAGAAAAAAGACAAACAAAAACATTGTGATGGATCCTATATGAGCAACATGTGTTAGTGTTTAGTATCTCCTATATAATCATTATATCGATGAAAAAGTTTGTTTCTCGCCCTGTGTGTATGACATATAAATCTAGGTCATTAAAATATTATATCCGAACAAAATCTACAAGCCAAAATGATTTTCTCATTTTTCAAAACAAAACAAAAAACAAGTGAAATGTGAATGAACGAAAGAAAACATTTACAGTGATAATTTGAATCTGAAAAACGAAAAAAACGATCCAAAATGTGTGTGTGAGAGAGAAAGAGAAAATCCATACGAAACACATGACATAATGAAAGATGCATAATATTGTTGATGATGATATCACATTATCATCTCTCTCTCTCTCTCTCTCTCCTATGCTAAAAGCAATTGATTGAATGAAATGAAATGAACGAAAGGCTGAAAAAAATTTGCTTGAATATGGATTGTCCTGTCACAATATTATTATTGGAAATGATTCTTTTACTTTCTCTCTCTATCCGTTATTTATAAATTGTTCGGGTCAATCTCCTCCCCTACAAGCTTGTTGTTGTTGTTGATGATTCACACTTGTTGTTGTTGTTGTTGTTGAATATTTTTTTATTTAGATCAATTGAAGATTTGATTGCAAATTTATTGATTGATTGCAAATTTGAAGCTATGAAATTTCAAACGAAAACAAAAACATGATTGACAAATGCAAGTGAGCAAAAAAGGCATCTTTTTTCTCTTTTTTTCCAAAAAATTCGGAAACAAACTCAAGGTTTTCTCATCGGTATAGCACACCCAAAACTAAAACATTTTCAATCGATTCATAATCAATCAATCAATCAATCATCAATCATTAAGCAAACAAATTGAATGATTCGGACAAAAGATCCAAAAGTGTAACAAACAAATGAATGAAAATATTGTCAATTTTTTTTCGATAAAACTAAACCATGTCATCATCCATACAACAAAAAAAAACGAGAGAAGCGAAACTATGAAAATCAATAAATTTACTGAATTTTCTATCCAAATGATGATACAACAGAAAAATCGGGTTCACATTCGTATTCTCTCTTTCCCTTTTCCCCTCCAGAAAAAAGATTCACTTTTTTTTGCAAACATGAGGATCCGGTAGTAAATGACCAAATAAAACACATAGAGAGAGAAAAAAACAAAAAAAAGCAAAATAGAGAAAATACCACATGATAATACGAGGCCACCATCATCATTTCATTTCATTCATTCATTCAAAAAAAACATCAAGTAAAATCTAGGACACAAAACACGTATTGTGTGTTTGTGTTTGTGTGTGTTTAGATATAAATATGGTAAATATAATCCATGATGATGAGTTAGTTACTCTGAAACATTGGAACAATAACCATATGATGATTTGAATTGATATTCAAAAAAACATATCGACTTACAAGATACACACACACACAAACATATTGACTAACTTCACTCACAAGTGGGCGCCACAATTTTCATTCAACAGGCTTTTTTTTGTTGTTAAAAGAGAGAAACAAAAAACAAGCAAATCTTCGAATAACAAATAGTATCCTTCAAATCTCAAATAGTATCTATTATTATTTTTGACAACAACAAAAAAAGAAAATCCAAAAGACAATATTGTTCCAAGAAAAAAAATTGATGATGACATTGATGCCATCATCATCGGTGTAGGTTGAAATCATTGAAAAGTCAACAAAAACAAAAAATCCATCCAAAATTTACAATAAAAATATCATACCTTTTCATAAGTTTTATCTCAGAAAGATTTCATTGAAAATCCATTACACAAACACTTTATTATATAAGATTTAAAGCAAACACAGGAAATTAAAATCAAACGGAATTCAATCGATTCTGGCCATATCATCATCATCATCATCATCATTCGACCAAAGAAAACAAAAAAATCGTACGGAATATAACAATGTTATATGTTTGAACAAATGTTTGATAGAAAATGATGATGATTTCAAGATGGTGTTGTCCATATTAAAAAAACTTGTCTTTTCATCATTGATTGAATAATATGTTAAGGACAACTATTTTTCTTTTCTTGTTTTGCAGGTATGTAGAAAAAGCTGGTTTTCAACAACAACAACCGTACCTGTAACCGGAATAAAACTATGTAACCCAACCAGCACACATCAAAAAAAAAATCAACCAACCAATCATAACTATTACACCGGATCTTTTTTTCAATATCATTGAAAAAGAGGGGGTAATAAAAATCTAGCTAGCATCTGGTTCGAAAAAACAGGCTCCCATTGAATGAATTTCTCTCCCAAAAAAAACCAGGATTCTCTCACTCTCTTTTCAGCAAAAAAAAACAAGTTATACAATTCTTTTTCATTCCAAACAAAAAATACTATAGGTGGCAGCCAACCAGCAAATCCATGTTGAATAATAATAATGAAAGAAACCGGTCGTAAATGTTCAATGTATGTCTAAATAGTTGACATGAAGATGTTTGGTGGCGCTGTTATCAACAGAAAACACACACCATACACAAATTGAAGGCGCCAGTACATTTGGTTGAAATGAATGAATTTCGTTTTTTTTCCTTCCCCTATTTGAATATCTACATCATCATCATCATCATTTATTAATATTGTTGTTATAGCTTGAATGGATAATGATGATGATGATGACTTGACTGATAGCAATTGAATGAATGAAATGAAATGAAGAAGAGTAAGCAAACAGTGGAAACCAGTAACAAAACAAAAAAAATCAAAATCAAAGTGAAAGGGAATAAGGTTCGGTTTTGAATGAATGGATTGGATAAGGATGACTGGTTATGTATGAAAATCAAAAAAAAAAATCTAAAAAAACATGTTTTTTCACTGATTATAACAGGCCTGTAATATTTGGAAAAAAAAGAGTAAAGGTGGATATGTCCAAACATTCATTCATTCATTTGAGAGAAAAAAATGCTAGCATTCTATCATTGTAAGCCAAGGTAAAATATTATTTTCTTTCTTTCTTCGAAATAACGTTGAGAAACAGAAATAGAGATAGAGATAGAGAAAGAGAGAAGCCATCGAATGTACACACACATATCATATACCAAGGGCGCCATCAATAAGCAAACAGACAAACAAACAAACAAGCAAACAAGCTTAATGACTTTTTCTCTATAATTTTCATTTATGGCGATTCTTCTTTTTTTTCGGTAGATATATTTTGAAAAATTTCTTTTAAAAACGGATTGAATC